GGCGCCCCCGGCGCCGGGAGGCGGTGGCTTCGAGAGAGCGGCTGCTGCGTGAACAGATTCGCGGACCCTTCTTCTACATTATTTAAGTTTGGCCTTTTCACTCCACAGCAGGAATACTCAAAGACATACAGTCGAGGGATTATTTGTTGTTAAATATATGTGATACATTTTATGTGATACATGTTTTATAATGTTTTGAGCTATTAGACATATTTTTATAAACAAAGCCTTTGTCCCCACAGATCCGCTTGTAGGAGGACGCGTCCGACCTCATACTATCTATCTCCCTCTTTCGCCTCACCCGATGTGTGACAGTCTCTCTTCCTCTCTCTCTCTCTCTTTTTCTCTCTCTCTCTCTCTCTTTCTCTTTGGTGGAGGAGGGGGATGAACAACCCTCCTCGGCGGCGAGCCCGGGGGGGAGTAAGACGGGGCGGGCCCTCTCAGGAGATGCTCAGAAGTCCCCGGGCCTCCTGAGAAGTTATGTAAGCCTTCCCCGACGACGCAGAACAATTTTTTGTCGGAGGGCGCGATGGCCTCTGAGAAGCCCCGCCGCCTTCTGAGGGGGCCTTGCCCTTTTCATGTCGGCACGGACGGAAATTGTACGGACAAGAGTGGGTACAATGCCCAACAGCAGTTCCTGTTCATTTTAACAGGACTCGCTGCACGCGCATCCGCAGCCTGTGTCCATTTGAGACAGAAGGCCACCTGCCCAGCAGCGGCCCTTGTATGTTTGGGACAACATTTGTTGTTGGGCATTGTACCCATTTGTTGCCGAACCACTTTCGGGCGTCCAAATCATTTCCCCCCTTCGTTCGCCGCCGAATTCCAAAGGCACCCGCTCGTCCTCGCATCGTCGGTCCATCCGTGTCCACACACTATCGCCAGCGGCTCGTTCAAAGGGGCTCCGAGCTGGGGCGTACGTTTATTTATCTGCTGCGCACCCCGTGTGATCCTGTCGTGCTGTACTCGTCAGTCGTTGAACGTTGGTGTTCTGGGGATGCCCAATTCCCAGTCTACTTTTTGTGTTTTTTCCTCTTCCTTCCTCTTCGGGGGGCGTGTGGAAGCCGAATCCACCTCAAACGCTTTCTTACTTCATGCTTCTACCCACTTCCTCCGATCGATGGGTCACCTTTCTCTCTCTCTTTCTCTCTTTCTCTCTCTCTCTCTCTTTTCGGCGGCGATCCTGGGTGGCAAGTGAGGATGGGTAGTGCCTTCTCAAAAGGTTCGGAAGCCCCTTCGCCTTCTGAAGAGCTTTCTGAGCTTCCCCGGAAGACACGGCGAACCAGTCAGAAGGCTGGCGGCCTTCTGAGAAGCCCCGCCGCCCGAGGAGGCCTTCTTCTTCTCACTCCCCCCCCCTCGCCGCCCATTTTTCCATCTGATTGTTTTCTCTGTCTCTCGCTATCTCTCTGCCTCTCTCTCTCTGGGTGCGCGGCGGCGGGTGGCGCGGCCCCAGAGCGAGAGAGGGGGCGCGGGCGACGCATGTCGTCGTCGTCGCCGCCGCCGCCGCCGCCGCAGCCGCGGCCGTCGTCGTCGTCGTCGCCGCCATCGCCGCCGCGGCCGCCGCGGCCGTCGGCGCGGGAGGGCAGGCTGGCGGGATTGACCCCCTCTTGCTGGCGGGGGGGGAGAGGGAGCCCCAGATTTGCTCGCAGCGTCGACCCCCGGAGGTCTCGGCCCGTGCCCTTGGCCTGCCCGTGGAAGACGATCAATGGAGAGGAGGCATGCTGCCAAATAACTTCCTGACGTCTAAATCGTGATGGAACCATGCGTAAAACACGTTGAGAACATTTGAACACATTGTTCCCGCATTTTTCAGGCACGGTTTGAAACCTTATGCTGGAGAAGAGGTGGTTTGATTTAGTGATCGGGCTGAGAGTGTCCGAGCAGTTTTGTGACCGTCCGAGGGCCCGGCGAGGGCCCCCCAAGGGGCAGCAGAGGGCAACGAGCCTTCCGCAGTGCCTTCTTCAGGACGCGAAGGGGCCTGGGCTTCGCGTCGTGGAGCTCGGGTCTCCCGCAGCCGGCCCCGCGGCACGGTCCGGGCTTCCCGGGGAAAGGCTCTCGCCGAGTGCTGCAGCTACCGGAGAGCATCCCGAGAGCATCCCGAGCAAAAACAACAAAATGCGGTGACAAATCATGGGAGCTTGATGTGCCCTCTCAATTCCGTCGTTAGCGTCGATTAGCGTCTGGAGTCGATGAGATCGCCCGATGTAGCGTCGACTAGCGCCGATTTAGCGTCGCCTGGTCACTCATGCTACGAGGACAGCAACTTATTGTTATTATCATTGTCGTTCTATTTCTACGACCACGACTACGACTACGGTTCACTTCTGCGATATTTACTGCTACGCCAGCCATGGCTGCGTTTTCGCCTTGTTAACCTTGCCACGACCACAACATATTATCCTCCTCCTCCTCTTCCCATGAATCTTACTACTACGACAGGTACTATTACTGCAACTACTTCTGCTCCTACTCCTCCTCCTCCTCCTACTACTACTACTAC